ATACTTTCATAGATTTCTCATAGATGGTGCTACGGTCAAAAAGTCATTGAAAACCAAAAGACTGACTGAATCCTATTTACCCAAAAATGTTCCAGAATTTAAGTGCAAAATAAGTAGGAAATCACGTCTCCCAATGCCAGCTCAATATACATAAAATTTTCACTAATGTACATAATGAAATGAGTTACATACCTTCGATTTTGTGTCGTTAGAGAACTAGATCAACGGGGAGCTATAACTTTACACGTTCATTTCGACCCAACGCTTGACTACCACTGAATCGTTCGCTGCTTGCGGGGAATTCCGCTCCCGGCGCACGTTCACTTTTTTAGGTACACGAGTGACCACCATATTGTCCACTGATCACGATTGCCCACTTCTCCCCTACACTATAATGAATTAGATAGGTAACTTAATTTACGAAACGCATACACTTCCTGGAGTTTCGCTCGGACCCCTGTTTAAATAATACATTACTCGGTCGATCTGTTCCAGATGATATGTTCACAAAGCAGGACAGTATTCAATTCTGATGAGTTCCTGGGGCAGCCAATAGAGATCGTGGAAAAGATATTCAAATTAGATTTCCTAAACGTAGAGTCGGAGTGGGAATTGTACGAGGCAGCCGAAAAATATGCCAGGAGACATCAATCTGAAGAAGTAATAGCCACATCTGGACATTTTTTATTTAGAAATTTCAAGTGATGCGATGACGGGACAAACAGGTTATGCGCCTGGTAGTGAGTGACACGTCTACCCATACCTGTTGCAGTGCCACTCAGAGCTTTAAATTGCAAAGATTTGAGGAGCATTGCCACTACCAACACCACAACAAATATTTGTTGTAAATGGAGTTTTGTTCAAATTTATTGATTACAAAGTGTTTACTGAAGTAGAATGATTCGATTTGCTTTTCTATGGAATCGATTCTCTTGAAAATCGTGTTGAAATATATCGATACAATAAATCATTATATCGCTTGCACTTGAATCGATCGTCAGCATAAAAATGGGATTGTAAGGTACGTGTAGTGGGAATCCACAGAATTGCAAGGTGGGTATTGTGTGGAGACGTCTCTTTTTCGTCTAAAAAGATTTTTCACATCGAAAGTATTTACTTATTAGGATAAGTATGAAATTATACCAAATTCCGGATTCAGAAATGGGTAAAATCCCGGGCACAAGCCCTGGCTTTTGATTGGTGGGTTGAGGCGGGCAGTTGTGCGGGTTAATTGGGTTTTAATCCATTGCTCACCTCTGTCACTGACTACTACTCTGTTTGCAGTTACACCAACATGTTCCTATCCCCAAGAAACTACTACAGCACATCCGGTTCCTGTCAATGACAAGTGAAGAATTAGCATCAAAGATACCGCCTCCAGGATTTTCCAAAGACATTATCTTCAGCTTATTAATGAATGTCTGTTCGCAAAATACTTACGTACCTATGCCTGAAGGGTTTTCTGTCAGCAGGGTGAGAAGGACATCGGTGAGAATTATTTCTTAGAATACGAACCACTTCGGTATCCCTAGTAGGGATGCAGGTTTTGTTTAAATTGATTTTTTGGATCGTAATGGATCGTATGCCTCTGAACCGATCCACAGATCGGATCAATGCTCACTCATAAAAATCGTTTCAAAATTAATTTCGATGAAAATAATAATTTTGAAAGCTTTTTTGTTTTCAGTCGGTTATGAATTTCATTTATTTAGAGTGATACTAGCCAATGAGAAAAGACGTTCAGATGGCATAGAAAATAAAAAACAAATAGCCAAATATTGTTGATTATTGAACTTATATGTTGCTAAACTGCCTTTCTTGCAGGTCAATGTAAAATAAGGGGTTCAGAAAGAGACTGTTTTGTTTAAATTATGAATATATATGGACGATTCGATTTGTCTAATCGAATAAATCGAAATAAAACGCTTTGAAATGAATCGATACAAAAAATCGCTAGATCGTATACACTTGGATCGGTCTTCATAAATATCCAATCGTAATGTGCATCCCTACCCCAGATCCCTACCCAAGCGCACACTGACAGCAATTATGCTATACGGTATTCCTAGATACGACGCGGCTTTCTTGTGCTGGCTTCCTACGGCTCGTTTTCCAACGCGCCGTGGGAAGAGGGCCGCCCGAGCGCGCCCGTGGTTACCCGTGGCGGCCTGTTTGGATGAGCCGAGTGTCGGTAATTTCAAAGGCGCGGCGAGAGAACATAAAGTACGTATACGTAAAACAAACTACGTATGCAATAAAATCTTAACAATTTCCCTCGACCTGCTCTTGTTGAATAATGACATCCACCAGTGTCGTTTCTTTTGCTTTTTTTAGTATGTTGTAACCATTGCATAATATAAAAGTAGCCGCAGAAATAGCTATGCTATGCGTTCTTCGTATGGCGTTTTCTCAAATCAGACTAAGCTCTCGCCACACACTCGAATACGCTCCACTACGCGACGAAAAAATAGATCACGCGGCTTCCCACGGCGCGTTGGTGCATGGTGGCGTGTTGAAAAACGGGCCGTGGGAAGCCACCATTAAGCATGGCGAAGGATCCTTAGGCACACCTCGGACACTCCACATAAAGATCGAAAGTAAATAAATTTCGACCTACTGCTACTACATATAGCAAGGCGCTATCTACACACGCACAAAAGTGTGCGTGAAGTGGCAGGGTCACCCATCACTTCTCGTACTAGGCACGTTACGTGGTGACAGCGACAACATAGCGAAAATTCTAACGGCAATCTGTTATCTATAATTCTATTAATAGAATCCTAATAATTACACGTGTTTATAAGGTATTTACATCGATATAATATTATATTTCTCATTAATTCACTAAATAGAATAATATTGAAGATTTATTTAAAAAAATATATTAAAAGCATTTAAAATGTTATATTCTGAGCAGGTACTTTTAAATAAGGTAACCAAGGTATTTGAAATTGCGTATCCAAGTTCATCATTACCTAGTTAATAATTAGGTATATTCGCTACATAATATTTATCGGCAATACACAATGAAAATTCGAGAACCTCTGTCTACTAGCTCATGAACTTAAGCATATTACTCTGCACTAAAAAAAAATTAAGAAAACAATAACAGACAGGCATTCAATGCAGACAGGCATAATTTTTTTTACTTACTCCGTATTATTTTTCGGATAACGAAAGAAACTCCTCTCTTTACCCCTTTTAGATGATGTTACACACCACAATTCACGACCATTATAAATGTACAATGATGTTATATATTAACGTACATGTTTCGTAATGAATAAATGAAAATTAAATTCAAATAGCAAAGCCGTCTTAGCGCGAAAATGGCTCGCCGACAGTCTTGTTGTCGTCCAGTCAATGTGACCGGCAATATACGGAGCGTTGTGCGGTATCTAAATCTAGGGATGTCCATTCTCGTTACTTTTTTAGATGCCAAAGTCTCGGAAATTACCGAATGCAAATGCGTTAGTTATAGAAGTGCAGTATAGAAATCTCTATTTCAGACTTACACAAAAACATCAATATTACGACTAAAGAACAATACAACTGTGATAGAGGAAGAAAAATCGAGAACTGAAGTCCGCTTCTCAGTTAGAGTGCATGACCTAAGTGAACTGGAATCTTTTCAATCAACACCGTTCTATGGTCTGAATAACACGTGGCATTTGGAGGTATGAAACCATCGTCTATGCATGAATATGGGTTGATCCCGACTAGTCGGGATTTCATTGGCACGTTTGATGCTGACAGTAGCATTAGAGGTCCATGTGAAAGAGCTTGTCCACAGAAGACCTTTTTTTTTTTTTTGCTCACATTACTGCGTTTAGTTTTTGTGATACTATCAAGTGACGCGAACAAGTCGTTCTCCTGGTAAGCGACACGACTGTATATAAAACTGCAATGCCATTTCAAAGCTTTAAATCGCAAAGATCTGAAGAGCACTGCCACAGCGCTCGTCATCTAAGACATTTTAGTAGCAGCAGAGGTCCTTGTGAATGAGTTCGTCCAGGGAAGTACTGTCACCTTACCTATTTCTGCCGCACACGAACAAACGAATTGAGAACCTCCTCCTTTTTTTGAAGTCGGTTAAAAACGTATACAATTCCCTAAGAATCGTTCCTAAACCTCTGTACTTATATTGCAGGTTATAAAGCATGGATACCCAGATAAATATCTATCCGTGTGCTGTAAACGTTTGGGCGTTACACAAGAGGATACCTGTGCCAAAGACTTTAAAGCTAAATACAAATTCACCTTGAAAGATCATACTGGTCATATACATACTCGGTGAGTATATACACTGGCACAGGAATGTGCTATATATGTTTTTTCACACGGAAAGAAAACAACAAACGGGCCCACTATCAAAACATGCACTATCATAATGTTAAACACTATGAAATCTTGACAATTTGATTCGTAGTTTCTAATTTAAAAAGATGTAACGAATTCTGGACTGTCAATATAATTTAAAGTTTGAATGTCGTTGAAAGTTCAGTACCAGTTATTGCAAGTTACGACGTTTTGATTTTATATTTAAATTTCATTAAATGTGTTGCCATCTAGTGGTCAATAACTGAAAGACTACGAAAGATTGACGCTTGTGTGGTAGCGTGGAAATTTCGAGTACAAAATCGACTATATTGCAGTGGTATGAGGTTCCTTTGGTTTCTTGTAACAAAAACTTTATTACGATCAACAGAATATTGAAAATTATTACATCATAAAGAAAAAGTATTTTATGCAATCATCACAATTAGGTCTGAGGGCCGTATTCCAGAACCCTACTCAATGCTCAAGTCAGGATCTGAGTATGATTTCAAGCACTGGAAATACGACCCTAATGGCCGGGACTTGAGTATGATTTCGAGTGCTTTAAACCATACTCAAATCCTAACTTGAGCATTGAGTAGAGTTCTAGAATACGACCTTTAGAATCTCGTACGTCTATTAAGCACATCATGCAACGGTTGCATAATTATTCCCAACCGAAAGTCTGAACAAAGAGTCGAATCTGCTAACAGTTAGACAGCTTTACTTGTCTTCCATCACCAAAAGAGAAGACACTACTCCGTCTGTGTTTTACATCAAGTCAGAACATCATTTGCTCAATGATTTTTGCGTTTTCGGTCAGGCAGAGTGTATAATTTACTAAACAAAAAAGTACCGACCTCAAAAGTATGTGGAATTACATCTATTTGCCCTTAGAATAATAACGCATAGAATGATAGTTTCATATCAAACGAACTGTCACAAGTGAGGCAAAAATGAAATTCACGTAGGCTAGTTGTGGTAGTAGGTTCATTTTCGGTTTTATTGATTATATAAAAATACAAGTTGAAACGCGTTACTTCCTTGTGGAATGTGATGTTAGTATCTATTTTATGTTTGTTTGACGTATTTTTACACTCATTTACCGCACATTTCGTCATTTTTAGCTAAAATTCTTGATCTGTTCGCGGTGCAAGTTGACCTTGAGCACTGAAGGCCCGCCCGCTCGTGTAGGCCCATTGGGCGCGCTTCATTTTGCCTCACTTAGCGTGTGCGGACTAGGTTTCTACGCGTTATTATTCTAAGTATTTGCCAAGTTTTTTTGAAATCGCCACTATACGGAACTTGACACAGGAGATAATGAAAATCGGTTCTCACTACTCAAAGTATATTGAGAGAGAAAAACGCCTTGAATTAGAGAACTGCTGTTCATATAATTCATCTTCAACTTCAACTTCAACTTCCGACTTCAAAAAAAGGAGGAGATTCTCAATTCGACTGTATGTTTTTTTAAGTACGTTACGCGATAACTCCGGTATTTGTGAACCGATTTTCATGACTCGATTCGATTTTTTATTTCCTAAGTTTAAAAACTACATTAAAAATATTTTGATCGAAAAATCATATTACAAAATTGAAGACTACGTGTTAGATAAAGATGTATGGAAAGACGACATGGCTCCAGAATCCACACAAATTTGATTCAAAGCATTCCATAGCATTTAAGTTTATTTGAAAAGAGCAATCCCTAGAGTTTCTTGCTCGTTCTTCTCAGGGAGGTCAGCGTAGTGAACGAGCAGTAGCTTAAATGTGACGTTTTCAAGTGTAAATTTATTTTACCTATGGAATAAATAATCTTTGACTTTGACTTTGACTTTGACATTGGAAAGAGGGTACCTCCATAGTGGT